TCTTTCCCTGGAATTTCGTTGTAATATTCATGATCCTCCCTCTCCCGTGAATTCCCAGCTGATTCATTAGCATTTGCTGCCTCACTGAAAAAAATATTGGGGGGGGGGGGAAGCAACTGAAACTGATGTAATCAACTGCTTTCTAGTGTAGGCAAACATCCCCAGTGTTTGTGCATTGCACAATACACAGATTAGCCATATGGAGACTGTAAAGGCCTTTGGGCTTGAACTTTCAGAGCTGTTTATTTTCCCAGTTACTTCTGTCTGAATTAAAAATGGAATCATCACCCTTCAGGGTGCAGGGAGGCACAGTCATTTTCTTATCACCAGGCAGCCCAGACCCCTTTTCTTTGCCTTGAATAGATACGAGAAACTTTAAAAGAAGTGTGCCAATGCATCATTCATTTAGGTTTCCAAGATGTAGACCGTAAAACTAATTCCTCTGGCTTCTTGTCGTAACTGTATAAATCTAGGGATTGCTGGGTGGGGCTTACAATCGAAAATTAGAACCTCGTGGCATTTCGTTAGACAAGCCTGCAACTGTTCTAGAAAATCAATTATTGCTATTAAAAAAACAAAAGTCATTTTCCCAAGTGGAATGTACCTTGATTTTAATAACCATAATCAATATAACAATTCTGTTTCAGCTTGAAGAAAACACTGAATGACACAAAGGAGAATGCCCAATGTTTTTCTTGAGCTAAACCAGAATGATGATAGTTTAAATGTACAGCTGACACACTGCAAAACAACAAGGTGCTTCCTGTACTGTCTCCGGTCCCAAAATAAAAAGCTCATCTCAAATCTTACTTCTCTGTTTAACAAGAATATAATTGGATAAAAGGCCTCGAGCAGGAAAGAGATAAAGTTCAAGTAGTTGATTATGTGATATGCAGTGCAAGTATTTGATTATGTGATTCATAGGGAAGTGGGTGACTCATTCACACAGCAATATCCAACTTCTCTGCCTGAGGACCGTTCTCCGAGGCTGGCTGCGGGTTAGGCTCAAGGAGGGAATCTAATTATCCTCTTCCACCTCTCCTTGCTCTGATTTACTTGTGGCATAACCCAGCAGAGTTTCATAGGAAAGGCTCTTCCTCTGGTTATTGCCCCCAGGGAAACCAGACCAGTATTAGCAGTGGAATGGGAATAATCACTATGTACAATGAAATAAATAAAAACCTGACCTGGGGCTGCTGCTATGTAATAAAACCAGTTCTGTTGCATTGCACCAGGCACTGCACCAGTGACACCGCCTGCACAGCAACTCCTCGTGCTCAGGATGTAGTTAAGTGGCATTACAGCTTTACCTACTCATGGGAGGTAGCAAGTGACCAAATTTGGCTGTATGGTAAAGACAAGACTGAGAAAAACAGGCATGGCTAACCTGGGAGGAAAGCCGTAAGTTAGAGCAAGAATTGTGCGTCCTGAGCAATAGAAAAAGAATAGCTGAAATGGAGAATTGTGATCCAAAAATTAATCTAGTTTTAAGCAATGTGCAGGATGTGAGCAAAACAGCAAAAAGGTGAAATACAATTGCTTTTTTTTCACCACCACACACTTTCCACAACTGCAGCAAGCTTAAATTTGGCATGGGTCAGGCCTGAGCTCAGTGTGTGCATGTGCTGTATGTACTTACTTGGGCAGAGTAATTTGAACATTTGTTAATTTACCTGCATCATTTAAGAAAAGGCTGTTTTAGCTAAGGAGCAGTATAGCTGAATTCTATGCTGTTATGTGTCTGTATAAATGTCACTGAAATCAACGGAATAAGCTAATTTTAGTCTGTTATACTCTGTACCTACAGCATATACTACAATTAGCATATGTCCAGAAAGCATATGCAAAGCATCTTCTGCCTGGATCACACTTTGGAGTATATTGTTCTCCTGAAAAGTACTAAAGAGAAGAAAGTGACTGAGAACATGCTGACCTTTCATTAGATGTAACCAGGCTAGATGGATTCTTCAGGTACTGTTTGAACCGGAGCTCAAAAGCCTGCCCTATGGTGTTGATCACCTCCTGCGCCATCCCATTGGGACATTCCAGTATGTGGCATGCTGCAAAGAGACACCTTACTTTAATTAAGTAAACACAATTTATACTAGAAAATAGAGACACATGCTGTATTGCTTAGAGCAGAAAAGCTGGGCATGAAATTATGCATCTAGATAGCTTTAGGACATTATACAGACTGAGCTTTTTGATGTGTTAAGGAAATTGCTCTAGGTATTTTTTTAATCATCATATCAACTTATACCTCAATAAAAGAAACTCTGCATTTATGCTTCCTGCATGGAGTGCTCTTGTCTCTGCTTTGCTCTCCCCGCCTGTCAGTAAGCAGAAGCAAGGGAGAGAACCAGCCCTGCCAGTTGCAGTTTTCCTGTGAAACAGCATGAAAACACAAGCGGGGGTGGCTCCGGCAGCCTGGGGCAGGGCTCCCTCCGGGCAAGACTACACTTCTGCCACCAGCCCTCGTTCTCACGCACAGCCTCAGGAAATCCCCCTCCAGCCCTGCCTGCAGGCTGCCAGCATCCAGGAGCTCTGCACATCCCAGCAGCAACACTGGGACTTACCCCAGGGTGCCCTAAGTTAGTCAAAATAGCAATGCAGGTGATGAGCAGGTGATGCAGCTACAGAGAGGCAGCAGGCCAGGCTATAAGGCTCCAGACCAGCTTCTCCAGATTTTAATCCTGATTTTTTTAAGCCATCCATGGCACCTTAGAGTGAGCTCTCCTGTAAGCTGCCTCTACACCAACTTCACAGCCATCGGCAGTGTTGCTCTGAGAACCATCTGTCATGAAAGAAGCAGCCATAGGGCCAGTCTTTCTTCTCTTGCGGGCAAATGAGAGCTGTGCAAAAGGGACTTATCCCCCAGGCCAGCCTCCAGAGGCAAGAAAGTCGCATGCACCTGAGTATATTCCCCCCTCTGCCTTCCAGCAACACACACAGGAGCCCAGGTTAGATGAGGCGGCTCATTCACTACCCTTCCCACATCTGGCAGTTGCCCCAGAGCAGGGCAGCTTCTCACCTCCCAGGCTCTGCCCTTCCTCCCCAGGCAAGGCCAGCTTGGGAAGGCTGCTGCCCCTGCATGGAGCCATAAGCTAGTACAGCCTCAGTCTGACCTGAAGATTCTCACTTGGCACAAAGACTATGGTGTGTAAACTCACAGCCTGCATACCATTACCCATATCCATACAGGAAAGTCAGAAATTGTACAGAGCTTTTCAGTAGCTTTCTTATTTTAAAACTCAAACAATTCCTTGGTACAGATAAAGCAATCATATAAACATGTATAATAATTTGAAAATTGTTTCCATACCTCTCTGATTAACAGGATCCTTTGCTACATATGCAACATAGTCTGTTGTATCCTATAGGGAAGAAGACAACAAATGCCTTTAAAATTATCATTATGAACAACCCTACCACGACAGCAAATCATCTGAGTATAAAGAGATATATTTCTAGCTTTAAAAAGTGTGCTTCTTTCAGGGAAAACAACTGGAGGTGCTGGAGAAGTGGGCTAAGTGACACACTGGTGGCTATCGACACAGCAGTTGTCCTGGAATCTTTTTCTTCTAATAAATAAATACACTAGACCATTTGGCATTGTTTGGGTCTTCAATAAACTGTGTTTTCAATTCCAAACTCTGCAACAGGAGTAGAAACACAACTGGTGCCCCATCAGCAGGCAATGCTGCTCTCTTCCACTGCTCCCACAGAGCCCAGAGGCTCCCCCGTGTAACGCGTTAGGGCTGCGTGACTGCCAGGGACAGCTTTGAGCTGGGACAGTCCTTATCAGTATCAATGGAAGATAAAATAGTGCTAAAATACTGCAAAAGGCAAGTCAGAATATTCCCAATTTGTAGCACAAAGACTGAGTTTTGAATGCATCTTAGAGAAAAGTTTGTCGTTAAAACATTGCAGAATACAATAGGTATCTGATCTCAATCACTGCTGCCTGATTTTAGTCCAGCTACAATCAGGTCAAATTACTCTGGACCTCAAGGCTGTTGCTGAGATCAGACAACCTCAGTACAACCAGTTGTCCATTTCAGATTCTCTTTCCAGCCCACACTGAAATAACTCTCACTTCTTCTAGTGAAGCTGAAAAGGAAACTGGAATAGAAAAATTAACATTTCTAGTCATACTGCAAAAGCAAAAGTCACTTGATAATTCAGTGTTATAGTAAAAATGGTGAGCTAATGAATAACATTCTTTTAATTATTAAAGATGCATTTTGTTATTTTGGATCTTTAAGGCGGGATGGGGAAAATGCAATTCGCAGCTTAAAGGCACGGCTCTCTTGAGGGCAGATGCAATCAGCTGGCAGGAAACAAGGCCCCCATTTGCAATATGCACAAGAACAGTCATTTAATAATTCACAATGAATGACACGAGAGGCAGGTCTTAGGGCCAGCAGAACTTGTCCTAGATAATTTTTTAAAAATCTCCAAAGTTAATATTAAAACAAAGCAAGCTAAATATTTCTTACACATTTAATGAACTCAATTTCCTTCCTTTTCCTGTCAGGTTTTTCTTAAATTTCATAAATATTTTAGGATACAATTTGAAAATAAATTAGATCTAGAGACCAACTAAAGTAACTGGAGCAGTACCTGCTATTTTTATGTCTTTGTAATGTTTATGTACATGCATGGATGACTTTGCTTTAAAATAAAGCCAGAATAGGCTTTATTCTTGGGCAGAATATTGCTGCTCCTTAACAGTGCAGAGCAACCCTGAACTGTGTTTAGACCCTGAATGTGAGGCAGGTGGAGAGACGTGTCCTGTGGAAATTATCTCCCATTTATATGTAAAGAGAATTTTAGAAAAATTACCTGAACAAGCCGCTAAAATTGCCCCTTACGTGAAGTATCACTAGATTTGTAGTTACCACCGCTAAGACCTCCATTTTACATATTCTCCCAGTAAGAAAAGTGTCACCAGCTGCACCACCAAGCCCATTCCCTGCAGCACATCTCTGTGCAAGCACATCACATGGTGGTCCTGCCATTAAACACTGACCAAACCCCATCTTGTGAGATCTGATGTCTGATGGCATCATTACGCAAGACAAATGCAGGATAATAATATTAAAAAAAAAAAATAAAAAAAAAAACAACTAAAAAAACCCCTCAAAAAGGTAAATGAGCCCTGGAGAATTGCCCATCCCACCCACTGAGCGGAGGTCAGAAAATACAGCCCTGAATTTTCCCAACTGGAAATGTTACATAAGGACAAACCAGACATCCAGGAGCTAGGACATAGTACATACTTCATAAACAAGCCAGCTTAAGGACACATTTAAATTGTTCAACTATCAAGAAAACTGGAATTTGGAGATGAAGCTTTGTGACGCTCAGCACGACAATGTACCAGCACTGGGAGCTACCTGGGAATCCATGGCAGGAAGGGTCTGCAAAGCCCAGGGACTGTATTGTACCACGTGGTGAATTAGGGTAGCACAGGCATCTGAAGGGGAAATTCAAATTTCTTAGACTCTCAAAATGCCTCAAGCATTACATGGGATCATTAAGGACGCAGCACTTGGGCCCCAGGCTGGTGCTGTGCCTGCCTCCTGGGTGCAGGACCAATGCACGGAGCCTGCGCAGCAGCTCCCTCCCTGCTTCCCAGCCCAGCGCCGGAAAGCTCCTGCTCTCCAGTAGCGTGGGCAGCGTCTCTCAGAGCAGAGAGACTCAACGCATCACCCAGGTCACTCTCCTGAGAAGATCCATCAGCACACAGGGTCTGTTCCCAACTGTTTTCCCTCGCCTGCTCCTAAACCCAAAGAGGCAGACCTGCCACTTCCCAGGATCTGGCTTCCATCCCGGTGTTATCATGAGCATGACCCACAGCCTTCTCTTTTCCCTGTTCCATAACAAAAGAACAGGGAGACATTTAACAAAATTGAAGGTTAGAAAATTCAAAACTGATTAGAACAAAACCTACTGTTTTCATAGCTCACAGCGTGTGGAATTCAGACCGCTGGCAGGGCTGGGCTCACTGAGGTTCCAGGAGGGAACAGGGTTTATGAATTACCAATTCCCCACTTAAAATCACTGCAATGAAGCATTTGGCAAAGGACAGAAAACCTCTTGCTTGAAAACACCGATGACTTCATGGCTATGATACTAGGAGAAAAATCTTCTTCTTGCACATATGGGTTATGCCACATCTGTCTCATAGGAACTGTTTGACTCAAAATTCATCTAAAAATGTAGAGGTGCCAGTGCTGACTGCTTTTGTGACAGGTATTGGATTCCAGGGACCACAGAACTGATGCAATTCCTATGTTTGCGTGTTCTTATTTTTAGATCCCCAAGTCTGAGGGCTTCTGAATGAAGTGAGGCTCACTGACAGGCAACAGGAAAGTTAACTGTTCGTGTCTATCAAAGATCCACTGAGTCTCTGTCCCATATCTCCCTTCCAGTCTCAGTCCCTCAGTTTTCTTGTATTACTGGTCATGATCCAGAAGTGTGGTGTACTCTGTTAGTGCTTGTGGCTAGGAAGGGATGAAGCAAAGTATTTGCAGGTACTTTTATTCTCATAATAATTTCATTATACCTGCGGAAGGATCTCTTATAAATCAATACTTACTGGGTCACCTCCAGAAGCAAATGAGATGGACTGCATGTGATGGTTGGCAATAATCTGAAAAGCATGACAAACTAGTTAAACATGCTCATGCGCCACACATTTAGAAAACAGCAGAGCATATACCTTCATCGAGCAAGCAGTTAAGTTCATGACAACACAATCCATTAATACATGCACATATCATTTGTGAAGGAAGAAGATAAAAATAGGAATATTTTTGAGACTACCCATTCATGTTTAGTAATGTCTAGATCCCCAAGTTAACTTCCTTGAAGGGTTTTCAGAATGAATTCCACCACCAGCTTCTAACCTGGTCAGTATGAAGCTAAATGAGACTTTAAAAGGGGAATAACTGGAGACAATTAATGCATTTACAAAGTCTTGAGGTATGAATTCATTTTAATTTATGTAAATGTATGGTGTACACAAAGGTAGCATTTTTATGAATAGGCTCCACTAATACTCTGATTATATCTCCCAGCACTATCACCAAACTGTTACCTGGTAGAGGTTTCACTAGCCAAACCTACCATCAACTTTTCATGGTTTCAAACACCACCTCATCTCCGAAGACAAACTGTTCTTTATTATAAAATGAAGTGCCATAGATTATGCAGGTGGGAACACAATGAAACATGGTGGCAGTACAAGAATAGAACAAACAGGATTTTCCATTAGCCAAAGTCTAGTATAGAAAGACTTACAAAGAATTCCAAGACAGTCCCCTGTGTGGCCCTGTGTGCAGTGACAGGGCATATTAGTGCATTTGGAAAGATCTGCCTGGGTGGCTTTTAGTCCTGTTATAACCAGCAACAGGTTAAAAGGACCATGCTTTACCTGCCAACCCCAGAGCTTTGCCTGGT